GGAGGAGGAGGAGGAGGAGCAGGAGGGCATGCGCTGCACCGAGTCGCGTGGTTGGCGCTCGCGGCTTAGATTTCGCTATGGATGTGCTGGGCGTTGTGGGTGAGGACTTTGCGTCGAGCAGTCGGCGTCGCTACGGGGCCGGTCAAGGGTCGGGCGGGTCCTCGTCGCCACGGCATGGACTCGGCCCCAACAGCTGGTGCTTGTGGACTTCGGAAGGATCATGTTGGATGGAAGGGGGTGGAGAAGGGGTTGCAGGTGGTTCCAGGAGGAGGTTCGAGGAGGTATGGTGAGGTAAAAAGATGTAGGAGGAGGGAGGAGCTAGGTGGTGGGAGGTAGGAGGCGGCACGAGGGTGGACGATGCGTGACAAGATGTTGTGATTGTTGGTCCCAAGAGGGCCTGATGACGGCCCGAGAGTGTTCCGAGATGGCCGAAGAGGTGGCTCAGGCGCCGGAGGGGCGTCGAAGCTGGCGTAGCCACGATGCGTTAAAGGCGTGTGAACATGGTCCGCTGCGCTTGGATACGTCGTCGTCCGAAGTCGTCGTTGTCGTCGTCGTCGCCCCTTTGGTTTAACGGCCCTTGACTGCCTGTGGGCCGTTTCTGCCGTCTAGGGGTTGTTCTTGAGGGCGGCGGTGGGGTGGGAATCAGGGCGTTACTTCGCAGGTGCGCGGGGGGCGAGGGCGACCGCATTCACGGCGCTCTCGTTCTTGTCGTCGTAGTCGTCGTCGTCGTCGTTGATGTCGTCGGTGTCGATGTCGCGGCTGGCGTCGCGCGGCGTCTTCGGGTTCGAGCTGTCGAAGGCTGTGTGGTGCAGGCCGCGCGCGCGGGTCGCGATGTCGTGGACGGGGTGATGGTGGGATGATGCCCTGCAGGGGTGGCAGCTGGTGTCGCCGCATCAGATGTGGACCTGGGCGGCGGGTCCCCGTGGTGGCGGCGGCTGGCGGCGCGTGCGCGTGATGCGGGCGGACTTCTTGGAGTGGCTGCGAGCGCGTCGGCTCCAGGACCTTCGTCCGGTGTGTGTGTGTGTGTGTGTATGCTCGGTGTCAGTGTGTGTGTGTGTGTGTGTGTGTGCGGATGTGGTTCGGGTCTGCGCTGATGTGCTTCTGGAAGCGATGTGTGTGCGTGTGCGCTGCGCTCTTGCGCGTGTGTGTGTGTATGTGTGTGTGTGTGTGTGTGTGTGTTGTGTTTGTGTTTGTGTGGCTGTTTTTGTGTTTGTTTGATTGCATAGCAGTTCCGGTGTTCCGTTGTGGGTGGGGACGTGTCCGCGCCTGCGAGGAGGGTGTGTCAGTTTGTTCCTCGATCAAGGATTGCTTCTGTGGGGCTCCTAGCGCATTCGTATGCTTAGGTGAGGTGTGCCGTGTGCCGTCGATGTGGGGGCCGGTTCCGGGAGTCTGGGTGCTGGTGTGCACGGGGGAGGCCGGTTGGGGGGGGGGGTGCTCGGGTGCTCAGGTTCTGGGGGGTGCATGGGGGTGCCCGGGGGTGTCCAAGAGTCCGATTGGCTTGTATTCGCATGGCGGTATAGCTGTATAACGATGTGGTGCTGGAGCTTGCTATATATATATATATATATATATATAGATCTATAGGCTTATTCTCTTATAGTCTCACAGGCTAAGAACCGTATAGTGCTATAGGCAGGTAGCTGTAGGGCAACATGGGCCCATGGGCCAATAGCGTCACTGCGCGATAGCCCTTTACTCTGATAGCTGTGTGGCCCTCGGGGTCGAAAGTTTCAATTTCCATATAGGCGGATTGCTTTAAACGCTCCTTATCTCTTTTGCCGTAGAGCCTTATAGCCTTGTGTCCTTACGGCCGTATGGCTTGTGGCCGCATAGCTCTCATGCTTCGCAGCTTCATGGTCTCAGAGGCCTACAGCTCCAGTGTCCTAGAGGCTGCAAGTTCTGGAGCTATGTGCCTGTATCACCATATAGCTTTATCGCTAGATAGTTTTGTAGTCATATTGCCTTATAGCTTCACAGCGCTCTAGAACATCAGATTGGGTTTGTGCTCGTGTACCAGTGGTATCCTTTTTCTGTGAATCTGGAGGACTTCGCCCCGGCGCTGGCATCCCTTGGGGCGGTGGAGATCGGGGACTTAGTGCGCTTGCGCGAGGCGGACCTGAGGGAGGTGGGCCTTTCGGTTGTTGAGGCGCGGCGTGTGCTGGAGGAGTTCGGGGCGGCGGCTGCGGCGCATGGCGACGGTGCGGGGCTGCCTGGTGGGGGGGGCATTGGCGGCGGTGGCGGTGACCGCGCGCGGGTGCGTCGCCGCATCCGGGGAAAGAGGCCGGAGCGGCCGTGATCGCGGGCGATGGGGCGCGGTGTTCGGGACTGTGAGGGGGAGGGAGGATGAGGAGGAGGGAGGGAGAGATGGAGGAGGTGGAGGAGGAGGCGGAGGAGTAGGAGTAGGAGGAGGAGGAGGAGGAGGAGGAGGAGGAGGAGGAGGAGGAGGAGGAGGAGGAGGAGTAGAAGTGCTCCTTTTTGCATCCCTCTTCCTTTTTCTCCTCTCTCGTTTTCCTTGTGCTCCTTTTTCCTTGTGCTCCTTTATTCGCTTCGTCCCTTACCCGCGTCCTTCTTTTTCCTGCGTCTCCTCCTTTCCGTTTCCTGGTTGCCAGTTGGCGTCGTCGTCGTCGTCGCTGTCGTTGTTGTCGTTTTTGCTGTCGTCATCGTCGACGTCGTCGTCGTCGTCCTATCCGTCGTTCTCCTCCTCCTTCTCCTTCTCCTTCTTTTCCTCTTCTCTTTCTCGGCCCGTCTTCTGCGCTCCTGCAGACGCGCGCGTGTCTGGCCCCCGGCAGCCTGCGGCGGCGTTGGCGGGCGGTGGAAAAGCGCATTCGAGAGCAGAGTGTCCCTCTGCCTGCGTTCTCGGTGCGCTTCCTCTCTCCTCTGGCATCCTTCGTTCCCTTGCTGTTTCTCGCTGTCCTTTTTCTGGTTTTGTCTCACCACCTCGCGGCGGAGGCCGTTTCTTGTCTCGTGGGAGGGGGAAGGGCTAGTGTTGGAGTCCTTGCGGGAGGCAGGGTGCAGAGGGGCAACCCGATCGCCACCCTCTTACCTTTCCCCCTTGGCTCTTGCCGGTCATCCTCTGTCTCGTCTTCACCTTCTTTCCCTTCGCTTCTTCCATCCCCTCCTTCCCTCGGGTATCCGGCGCTTAATTTTTATCGATATGTGCGTTTCGGGTGTCTGGGCAGTTTCTTGGAGGCTGGCTTTCCGAGGAGTGCTGTTCCAGTCCCCGGTGGAGCCTAAACCAGTTCCCGGAGGCCGATCATTGTGTGGAGCCAGTCGGCTCGGTTCTCTGGGGGCGCCATATGTCCGGGGTGCGCGTCTGGATCGCGTAAAGATTGGGCTGTGGTGGTTTGCTCTGCTGGTTTGCGTCGCTGACCTCTCGTTGTATTCTGGCCGTCTCGGGGCCCTTTCGTATCAGCGCCGGGATGAGCTTGAGAATTGCCAGCGGGGCGTTGAGCCTTCACCGCGTGTCCGCGCAAGGGTGGTTGATTATCCGGGAGTGTTTATGTCCCCAAACCTAGTTCCGTTCCCTTGTTTTGCTTGTCCTGTTCCCTCTTCTCCTCTCGCCTGAAGCCTTCCATTGGGTCATCAGTTGTGTTGTGGTGTGGTTCTTACAACTCTGTTAGGGTGTTTCGTGGATCCAGGTGTGTGCGTGTGTGTGCGTGTGTGTGTGTGTGTGTGTGTGTGTGTGTGTGTGTGTGTGTGTGTGCGTGTGGGTCACGAGATCGGCGCTGCTAGGGCGTGTAGGGCTAGGTGCTTTGGGCGGAGGGAGGGTTTTCTGGGTTCGTGGCCCCTCGTTGTGCCGTATGCACGTGCAGAGGTGAATCTTTGGGGTGGGAGGGGGTCGGGCTGCAATCGGATACTGCTGAGGGTATCTGGTGGGTCGGCGTGCGGGCTTCATGATCCGCGCAGGATGGGCCACCTCTAGGTTTACTCCTGGGGTCTACTCCCAGGGCTTATTCAGGGTTATTCCCAGGGTGTACGCCTGGGGCGACTGTTGGGGTCGAGGCCTACGGTCCGTCCTGGGGGATCGTTGGGGAGGTAGGGCGCACTTTTAGGGATTAACGCTAGGGGTAGTCATAGGGCTTACTCTTAGGGCTTGCGCTCAGGGCTACCTCTGGGGCGTACACATAGGGCTGCCCTGGGCTTACTCCCAGTGCCGACCCCTAGGGCGTACCTATAGGGTTACCGGAGGCTTGCCCCTCGGGTTTGCCTCTGGGGCTCATCTTTAGGGATTCGCCTCGGGGCTGCTTCTGGGGCTACTTTTTAGGGTTGCTCCTAGGGCCGACCACTGGGGCTTACTTTTAGGTTTGCCCCAGGCTTACCTCTAGGGCTTATTCTGGGGCTACCCTCGAGTGTGAAGCAGGGATTATCTTTGGGAGGCCCAGGCGCTCCCCGAGGGCTTACCTGTGGGACGCCGAGGGTATTGAGGAGGGTTTGCCCTAGGGAGGCTTACGGTCGGTAGAAGGGCTTAGGTTGGCTGGGCTTGCGCCCAGGGCTACCTCTGGGGCGTACACATAGGGCTGCCTTGGGTTTACCCCTAGGGCCGACCCCGAGGGCGTACCTCTAGGGTTATCGGAGGCTTGGCCCTCGGGTTTGTCTCTGGGGCTCATCTTTAGGGATTCGCCTCGGGGCTGACTCTGGGGCTACTGCTTAGGGTTACTCTCAGGGCCGACCCCTGGGGCTTACTTTTAGGCTTGCCCCAGGCTTACCTCTAGGGCTTATTCTGGGGCCACACTCGGGTGTGAAGCAGGGGTGATCTTTGGGAGGCCCAGGCGCTCCTGGAGGGCTTACCTGTGGGACGCCGAGGGCATTGAGTAGGGTCTGCCCTAGGGGGGCTTACGGTCGGTAGAAGGGCTTAGGTCAGCTCATGGCGGGGGGGGCTGCCGATGTTCTGTGCAGGGGCGGCGTTTGTGGGGGTGCTGCGGCAGGTGCGCGCAGGTCCGGGGTCATTTGGATCGAACGTTGATCGAGTGCGCGCGCCGTTGCTTCCTGGGAGCATGGTGCAGCAGAAGAGCAAACGAGGGGCTCACCTTCGTGGGGCTGGCAACGCTGTTGTGCTAACGGGCGTTGCAGCTCGGGCGCGGCGCCCGGGCCAGGGGGCTGCCGGAGCGGCAGGCGAGGAGGCGACCGGTGGCGGCGCTGGCGCTGCTGGGCCCGCGGGCGGCGGCGACGCGGCGAGCGCGTCGTCGGGCGTCGTCGCGGCGGAGCGCGGCGGCGCTGGCGGCGGCGGGGTTCTGGAGTACGTGGGCGGGGTGGGTGGCATGGCTCCCGGTGGTCCTGGAGGACGGCAGGCTCCTTGCAGCGGCGCGGGGCGATCTCTGGTGCCTGCGGGGCGGGCAGAGGAGTCGGCGGCGATGGGTGACGTTGCGCCGGGCGGCGGCGGAGCTCGGCGCAGACGCTCGTCTCTGGACAGCAGCAGCGATGATGGCGTGCTGGGCCGTGAGCGGGCGGCGGAGGGGGGCGGCGATGGTCGTCGTCAGGGGCGCTCTTCGGTGGACTGCAGCAGCGTCGGGGGCGCCGTGGGTGGACGTGGCCGCGGGGCCACGACGCTTGCGGGCGCTGGCGGCCGTGGGGGGGCGACGACTGCGCCTGGGGTCGGCGGCGGAGGGGCAGGGAGGGGTCGCGGCGGCGCGGGGCGGGGCAGAGCGGTGACGGGCGCGCTGGCGCCTGGCGGCACCGCCGGTGGTCGGCGGAGAAGGTCGTCCTTGGACAGCAGCAGCGATGGGGCCGGGTCGGGCGGCGAGCGCGAGGCGATGTTGGGCGGTGGGGGTCGTCATGGAGGACGAGCGGCGCCGGGCGGCGGCAGCGGCGCCGACGCTGCGGGGGCGAGGCGCGGGACGCGGAGAAGGACCAGCCTGGGCTCCAGTAGTGACGGGGGCGGCGTCGAGGTGGCCGCGGTCCTCGCCGGACGAGGTCGGCGGGGTCGTGGGCGGGGCTGCGGCAGAGGGCGGCGCGGCGGTGGCCGGCGCGGCGAGCTCGAGCTGGGCGTGGGGGACGTGGAGGAGTGCAGGGTGTTCCAGCCGGCGTGCGTGGACCCGGCCAGGTGTCAGGCGCTGCTCTGGGGCGGTGGGCTGGGCCGCCTGCAGTGTGGCAGTAAGCCGGAGCCGGGGTCGGACCTGTGCAAGGCACATCGGTTGTGCCCGCACGGGCGCGTCGCGGGGCCCATCCCAGAGAAGAAGCTGGACCAGTTCCGCAGGGTGGCGTTGGGCGTCCCCAAGCCGTCGAGGCAGTGGTATTCTCGCCACTTGATGTGGGGGTACGCCGCCGAGATACGCCCGGAGCTCCGGTTTCTCAGCGAGCGCGACGAGGCGGGGCGCTGGAAGCTCACGGACGCCGAGTACGAGCGGTGCCTGGGCAAGATTCAGGAGTACGTGAGGAAGAATCGGGGCCAGGGGGGTCGCTCTGGTCTGGTGGCGTTGGAGGTGGGGGCCGGCGTGCGGTCCAGGGATGACAGGGGTGCTGGGGCGGATGGCGGTCGCTACGGGGCGGACCGCGAGCGCTGCAACGGCCGGGGCGGCGGCCGCGTCTTCAAGTGGTACAGCCGCGCGGTCTTCAACAACTATCTGGCGCGGTGGGGGGCGTCTGAGCCCACTTGCGCGGAGCGGCAGTGTATGGTGGCGCTCGCCGCCGTGTCTGAGGAGGTGGCGAAGTATCCGTTGCTGCATGATCGCCTGAAGGCTTTTGCGGGCCCGCAGTGCTACGCGCACCTGGACCCCGACGGCGGGGATTACCGCGTGCCTGTGAACGAGGAGAAGGGGGCGGTCGAGGAGGCTGGCGACGGGGAGCCCGTGGGGGTCTCGGTGGCCCGGGACCTCGTGGATCCGAGCAATTGGTTCCAGTGTGATTGCTGCCGGTGTTGGCGGTTCGTGGGGCCTTTGTGCGCGGCGGCCCTGCGGGAGTCCGGCTTCTTCGCCGTGCGCGACAGCGACTTGGACTGGGAGACGTGGCTGGAGCGGGCGGACGATCGGTATAAGTTCGCCAAGGCGTGCCACGACGAACAGCGCGGAGGGGGTGAGGAGGACGACGGTGATGGCGGCCTCGGCGAAGTCGCATCTGCGGAGGCGGCGGCGGCGCCGGTGATGGGGCGGGGCGCTGTTGCCGCGCCGCGCAGGTTGCGCCGCAAGACGTCCGTGGAGGCGGCGTCGCGGGAGGCTGGTCCGGGGGGGCGGCGCAGGCTGCGGCGGAAGGTGTCGCAGGACGAGGCCGTGGCGGGAGATTCGGCGGCGGCGGGACATCGGCGGGCGGGGCTGCCGGACACGGGGGTCGGCTCGAAGCGCCCGAGGGACGGCGATGGCGGGTCGGCTGCGGGATCTGCTGGAGGCGGTGATGGTGCTGATGCGGTCGCCGTAGCTTGCGACGACGCGGGCGCGGTCGGCGCGCCAGATCCGCTGCTGGATGAGCGGTCTGCGTCCGACTTCGAGGTCGCGTCGTGCGACGGCGAGCCGACGGGGGCTCCTGTGGGCGCGGGAGGTGGCGGCGGCGGCGACGGCGGCGTGCTCGCGCCCGGCGTCCGGCGGCTGCTGGACGCGGAGCTGGGGCGCCTGAGGGGCGCGGGGCCGCTGACGCAGGAGGACGAGAAGAGGCGGAGAGTGGCGGAGGTGGCGGAGGGCGCGCGGGGATCGAGCGCCGGCGGCGGCGGCGGTGGCCGGGCGCGTGGCGGGGGCAGGGGCGACGTCGGCGGCGCGTTCGAGGTGGGGCGCCTCAAGGATCGGCGCTCTCTGCTTGTTTTTGAAGCTGTTCGGCAGTGGTTGTCTTCGCTGCTGGGAGCCGGAGGGAGGGCACCGGCGCTCTCCGTGGCGCAGCAGGAGAAGTTGTGGGCGGCCGTGGCGGGCGAGAGGCGGGACGGCGCGGCGGAGTCGCTGGGGCAGGTGCTGTGGGCGGTGGCGACGGAGACTGGCGCGGAGGCGGCGGTGGCGGAGGAAGACGATGACGGTGTCGAGCTACTGATTCGACAGCGCCGCATGGAGGCTGACTTTCGCCGGTCTTCTTTGCCAGGACTGCGGTTGAAGTTCGAGTGCAGCATGCTGCAGGCGGCGGTGGAGCGCTCCGACGGCTCGGTGACCTGGCGCGGGGTTCGATGCCACCATGGCGCGGAGGGGGACGGCGACCCGGACGACTTCGCGATGTTGTGGAATCCGGCTTGGCGCGTGTCGCTGGACGCTGTGGCGGGCGACGGTGTGCTGGCGCTCCCGCTGCGGCGGCCTGAGTCCTGGCGCGACCCTGTGGATATGGCGGATTCTGGGCGCGGCACGGCGAGGATCAGCACAGGGTCATGACCGGCCACTGGGCGAAGTTGGTTTTGCCGCGGGAGGGGCCCTCCCGGGAAGGGGGCGGCGATGGGGCGGTGGACGGGGTTCGTGTGATGGGCCGGTCGCACGGCATGGTGTTGCGGTCCGCGGGGAAGGTTCTGAGTGGACAGCTGCAGGTAGAGGCTGCGAGTTCTGGCGGCGGGCTGCGGGGGCGGCGGGCTGGGACTGTGAAGAGGCTGAAGTTTGATCCGCAGGAGGGCCGGGTGCTCGGCTGGTTCTTGCCAGACCAGAAGATCCAGGCGCCGCGGGGAGTGCGGTGGGAGCCGCGGCGGGAGGTGCCGCTCGCGGGGCCCGTGGACGTCAACCACATGGAGGTCGTACCTACTGCGCTTTCCCACCGCAGCAACGCGCGGGTCGATTTGAGGGCGCCGCTGGGGCTGCGCGTTCCGGGCGCCAAGGGTGCTTGGCGTGCCGCGAGCAAGGAGGAGGCGGAGCGGCGGAGGTGGTTGCAGGACGGCTACGTGCCCGTGCCCGCGAAGAAGGTGCCGGTGCGCGCGGTGAAGTACGACACGCAGTTGAGGGGGGCTTCGCTGCGGGCGGTGCAGGCCATGCACACGATCATGAGTCGCATGGTGCTATTCGAGTGCAGGGGCTGCAAGGAACGCTTCCCGGCGTTTCACCCTGCCTATGAGCCGCCGCCGGAGATCGCGGAGAAGATGGAGGTGCTGAGGGCGGGGAAGAACGGCGTGGCGACGTGCTGCATGGCCGTGGCGTCCTGGGCGGAGTCCCCGCCGTCGCCCGAGTCGATGGCGGGCGGAGAGGCGTGGAAGGGGGACGGCTGTGACTTCGCGGGGCGGTTCTCCGGGACGTGCGTGCGGTGTCGGGCGGACGTGGATTCCCAGCTCGCCGCGATGGAGCGCGCGTCGCGCCGGGCCGCCGAGCAGGCCGCGGAGCATGGCGGCGAGGAGGGCGACGGCGCGGGTGGTGGAGGGGCGGGGGCGGAGCCGGCTCCGGCGTCGGTGATCGTCGCCCTGCGCTCGGAGGAGAATCACATGGATCCGTGCTTCCGGTTTCCGTGGGATGACCTCCAGGAGCTCTTCGACGCGGCGACCGTGACGGAGGCGATGCTTTTGGCGCTGGAGCACATGCAGGTCAACTACGTCACGGTGGCGCTGTCTGGCCTGCGGAAGTTCCGGAGGAACGTGCTGTCCTTTCCGCAGGACATCGCGGGCTTCGCGATGCGGCACGGGCTGCTGAAGCAGTACCGGCCGAGGGGCCGCGTGGACTCCGTCCGCGGGCCGTGGGGCGGGGCGGAGAACCCGGACAGGCCGGCCAGGCGCTGGGGGGAGGTGACGGAGCAGGAGCGCGCGGAGCACGTGATGGACGAGGCGGGGTGCGTCATTTACCCGGGGGTCATCAGGGAGGTGCGGCCGGACGGCGTTTTGGTGGTGGAGTACGACTCGGGGGGCGAGGGGGTGGAGCGCCAGGAGAATGTGCGTCCGCGCGTGCAGATGCCATGGCAGCCGAAGCACGTGCCCTTGCATCTCATGCTGCGCCGGAACGTGGGTGGGAGGCGCGGTGTGCTGGAGGGCCTCAGGGTGCGCTGGCGCTTCGTGGCTAACGTGCTGCAGGCGCTGTGCGCGTACGCGGCCCCGGGGGCCGGGCCGTGGCGCCTCGACGGGGCCAGCGAGCGGGAGCCCATGCACAAGTACTTCGATCGGCGGCGGTTCCACGTGATGACGGTGGAGGAGCTGCGCGCGGAGTACGCGCCCAAGATGGCGGGAGGGGCGCTGCTGTCGCCGGCGGAAGAGGCGCGACTGACGGAGCGGGAGGCGCAGGACCAGGCTGTGGATCTGGAGGCGCCCGAGCAGTTCATGGCAGCCGGCTTCTCATTGCGCTTTGTGGGGCCCGATGACGATGCTGGTGCGCGGGGCGTTGGGGTTGCGGGCTGCGAGACGCGTGGCGGGGATGGTGAACAAGGTGATGATGGTGATGGTGGCCCGGCCGCCGGCGAGAACACGGGCGAGGGTGATGCAGGTGGCGGCGGTGGGGGCGAGGAGGCCAAGACCGACTTGGGCGGCCTGGGCCAGGAGCGGGATGCGGAGCCGGAGTCTTTCGTGGACGCCGAGACGTTCACGCTCTGGCTGGGGAGCTCAGATTTTCCCGTTGGTGCGCGGGTTCGGTCCTGGTGGGCGGAGTTGCCTTTGGGCGCGGAGGGTGACCTGGAGGCGCTGAAGGCGGGGGATGACGAGACGGTCGTGGATCTCTTCGCCAGGGTGGTGTCGGAGCTCCGGGAGGGCGTTGTGACCGCGGGGGTGTGGGGGGGAGAATCAAATAATGGTCAAGTTCTCCTGGTCCTCTTTCCTCCTTCTCCTCGTCCACGGATTATTTCGCGGGGCGCGGGGGGGGGGGAGGGGGGGGCTAAGAGAGGTGGAGGTGTATTGTTTTTCTTTGCCCCAGGCTGGCAGCGGCATTGTCGGCGGCGCTGGGGGTGCTCGTGGCGCGGGAGGTACGGCGGGCGACGTGGTGCACGTGATGGATCTGGTGGATTGGTTGCGGTGCCGAGCGGGAGAGATCGTGCTGCGCGGGGGCGCGGGCGTGGATCCGGAGGCTGTGTTGGACGATGTGCGCTTCGAGGTAGGGATCGCGGCCGGCTGGAGGGCCTGCGCCCAGGACACGGACACCGGCGGGGTGGAGCAGCACGTCAGTGGCGAGGACGAGGAGGACGAGTGCCTGCGTACGGCGGAGCGGCTGGTGTACGGGTGGCCGAGCAAGGCGTCGGAGCCGACGGGCCCTTTCCGCGAGGTCCGTTTCGTGAAGGCTTTCCCCCTGGAGTTCCCGATGGGCATCGGGGACATCTACCAGGAGCGCCCTCGGAAGGTCACGGCGGCGGAGTGGGTTCAGCACTTGATACGGTATCGCGCGGGTCAGTTTGTGGGCGGGCCGCGGGGGCAGCGCGTGCTCTGGGCGATGGTGAACATGCTGCTGCTGTCCGAGGCGCGATCGAAGGGGTGGGGCATTTACCGGAACACGGTGCGGCGCGGGGCGTTCGGCATGCTGGAGGCGGGCCGCATCTTGACCAAGGGGCGTCTGCGTGCGATTCTGGCAGACGAGGGGAGGGCGAGGATCCTGGTGGGCCAGCCGTCTACAGTGGGCAGGGACGTGCGCTCCACGACCATGCAGTGGGCGTGGGAGGGGATGAAGTTGCAGGCCGCGGTGAAGCACTTGTCGTGGATGCCGCCCTGGGTGGAGGCCGAGGACCTCGACGGGCGACCTCCGGTGGGGCAGTGCTTCATGGAGAAGTTCCAGGTGGAGCGAGCGGGGGGTCGGCGGGAGTGGACGCGGGGGTTGGTACCTGATCCTGTGGGGCTGGGGCGCTTCCCGTCTTTGTGGTGGACGCAGAATCCCCACTACCACGCCGCGTTCGACGTGCAGCGCTTCGACGCCAAGGGCATCTCCTTGAGCGAGTTCGACGAGGGCTCCAGGCGCGGGCGCGCGGAGTTCGTTCGGGAGAGCGGGGACCTCGTGGCGCAGCTCGTCGCTGTGCGAGTGGAGCTGCACATGCGCGTCGTCATGCCGGCCGTGGTGCCGCACTCGGACCGTTTCCCGTATATGGCTATGGCTCGCTGGGAGACGGGCGGCGGGGGCAACCTGCATGCCCACGGTTTCAGCGTCGGCCTGCCGTCGCCGCAGGTGGGTCGTGTCATGGCGGACGTGGACGGGGAGGGCGACATGGCGCCGAGTACGTCTGAAGAAGACCTTCGCGCAGTGCTGCGCTGGTTGTGGCGCGAGGGAGGGGCCGCGGAGTGGGAAGCCATGGGGGAGATGTCGTCGGAGGAGGTTCGCGAGGAGCTGGCGGCGGTGCTCGGTCGCGTGTCTGCGTCGGAGGTGGGCCTGGCGGGGGCGGGTGCGCCGGTGGCGAGCGGGGCGGAGTCGGCGAGTGCGGAGAGTGAGGGCTCGGACCAGGAGGGCAGCGGCGAGGGCGCGCGGCTGTCGGCGGCGAGGGTGCAGGACCTCCTGGATGCGCTCGTGCAGGACGGATCCCTGGTGGCGATGGGCGGTGAGGCGGTGCAGGAGGTCGACGCGCGGTGCCGGGTGGTCTCTGCGCCGCCGCTCGATGAGGCTGCGTGGGGGGCGCGGGATCGGGGCAGGCGCGGTGTGCGAGATCGGCGTCTCGGACCGGAGGCGCCTCGTGATCTCGGGGTGTTGAAGCCTGAGATGGAGCACGTGGACGTGCAGAGCCGGTTGGAGCAGCAGTTTGCGGACTTCTTTGGGGGGGTCGTGTCGGAGTGGAACCCGTGCTATGATAATTGCGGGCGCTGTCGGTTCAGGTGGGGCGAGGAGATCGGGGCGCACGACGTGGAGGTGCTCGGCGAGGACGGCGTGGGGTCTGCGGGGGAGGCGTCTGCCAGGCTTTCGTCCGAGGACAGGGCGCGTGTGAGGGTGCGGGGCGCCGCGCCGGAGCGGATGAATCTGCGGGGGCTGCTGGACTCGGTGTTCGCGGTGCGGGGGGCCGAGAAGGTGGACGTTCAGCCTGTGCGGAGGCTCGTCGCGGCCCTGGTGGATCGTGTGGCGCGCCACGCCAAGCACGGCATGGACGCGCCGAAGTTGGGCGTGCACGCGTGCGCGCGCGGGAAGGAGCCCTGCCCGTATTGCCGGTATGGGTTTCCGCGTGACCGGCTGCCTCGTGGCGGCGCCCGGGGGATGGTGATGGAGAAGGGGGGCCGGGAGGGCCAGTGGCATCCTCGGTTTCCGCGGAATGATCGCCTGTGCTGTAGCTATGAGGAGCACGTGCTGTTGGCGAACATGGGCAACGTGGATTGGCGGCCGGTGCTGAACCTGTGGGCGGTGACGGAGTACGTGACAAAGTACGCTGCCAAGGCGCCGAAGGGCTCCCGGAGGCTGCGGGAGGTGTTGACGGATGCCGTGGACGAGGTGTGCAAGTACGTGCCGGAGGGGGAGGGGGTGGACCTGCTGAGGCGGTGCATCCAGAAGTTCTTCGCCCGGAGCCTGGGGGAGCGGGACTACCATCTCTTTGAGGCGGTGCCGCTCGGGTTGGGCCTCCCGCAGGTGGCCCCGCTGATGCCGTGGGTGAGCTTGAACACTGCGGGGTCGAGGCCGCTGAAGCCGGCGTCGGCGTTGAAGGAGCTGGGGGACGACGCGGTGGTCCACTGCGACAGCAAGGTGGACAAGTTCAACAAGCGGTTGTCCATGGTGCGGAGACAGAGGCGGGCGGGCGATCTGACGGTGGACGAGATGGAGGTGCGGGACGTGTCTCTCTTCGAGTTCTGGTGGAAGTTTATGTGGACAGGGGCAGGGTGAGGAGGTCCACCCGGGCGGTGTGCATCATGGTGACCCCGAGCTACAGCGCCGACGTCGCCAACGTGGAGCACGCGCACCACGAGGGCTACGCGCGGGCCGCGGTGGTCGCGCACTGGAGGCACATGACCACGGAGCGCCGTCGCCGGCTCATCCGGGAGCAGACGGGTGTGCGCGTGGTGCCCGACGTGTGCATCGGCGGCACGGTGTTCGAGGAGCCCTTCGTGCAGGCGGGGCCGGCGGCGTTCGAGTCGGACCGCTATCTGGGGGTGGAGGATCTGTGGAGGCGGATGGCGGGCCTGCGCGATGATGCGGCGGGGGAGTTCTGGGGGTTCATGCTCATGGAGATGCTGACGGATCCGATGCTCCGGCAGTGGGTGCCGCAGTGGGTAGTTGAGCAGTGCGAGCGCGCGAATCCCTTTTACAGGGAGGTCCTCGCGGCGCTCACGGTGGAGCCCCCGGATGGTCTGACCAATCGACGTCTGTTGAGGAGGGTGCGGACGGGCATGGTTCATCGGCATCAGGTGCATTTGCGCAGGAAGGCGGCGGAGGGCCGCGGGGGCGCGGGTGATGGAACGGGGGTGGACGGCGACGGCGGGGAGGAGGCTCGCAGCGAGGGCCAGCGTGCAGATTCGGAGGACGAGTGCGAGCGGTTGGGGGAGGGCGTCGACGACGATCCGAACGCGGAGAAGATATTGATCATCAGGGATCCGCGGCCTGGCGAGGGGGATGGTGGCGCGGGTGGGGCGGAGGGTGAGTGGGCGAGAAGGGCTCTGGAGGAGAGCCTCAGCGCGGCGGGGCCGGCCCGTGCGGCGCATGACGTGGACCTGGGCGTGGGCGACGGGGGCGGCGTCGGTGCTGGTGCGGGTCGCTCGCTGTGGAACCCGAAGGGGTACGAGTGGACGAAGGATCCGTGCAACGTGTCCTGGCGGGAGAAGTCGCGCTTGGAGGGCCTCAAGGACCAGTGGTACGGCAAGGGCGACGTGGGTGACGGAGCCGAGGAGGTGGACGCGGGAGAGCTGGACGATTGGCAGCGCTTCGCGTACGACGTCGTCACGGGGGAGAGGCCTGAGGGTGCGGGGCCGTTGCGTCTCATGCTGCTCGGTACCGCGGGGACGGGGAAGTCGCGCACGGTCAGGAGCTTCGTGTCGAAGAGGCGCTCCCAGGCGCGAGCGCGCGCCCTCGCTCGGAGGGCGGATGGGCGGCCGGCCGACGCGGAGGTGGAGGTGCGGGCGAAGAACGCGTGCCTGCTGGCGGCGCCGACGGGCTGTGCCTCGTTCCAGCTGAAGTTCGGGGCGACGACGCTGCGTCGTGCGTTCGGGGTGCCCGTGGGGTACTGCGGGCCCTGGAGTGACCGTGCCAGGGGGGGGAAGCGGTACGCGCACCTGAAGCAGCGTCTGCAGCAGGCCGACCTGCTGCTGCTGGACGAGCTCAGCATGATCGGGCGGGGCATGCTCGGCAAGATCGAGTTCAAGGCGCGGGACACGCTGAAGGGGGAGGAGGGGCGCGCGGTGGGCCGGGAGGGCGCGGCTGCGTTCTTGCTGGGGCGCGACGCGGTGCTGGCGGGGGATATGAAGCAGGCGCCGCCGATCGGGGACGATCCGCTGTATCGCTTCGGCGCGTACCAGGGGTCGGGCCAGAACAAGCCCAGGGGAGCGGCGATGACGCCCTCGGATGCGTGGTCGTCGTTCCGGCTGCACGCGGTCGGGGGGGGCGTCCGGGGCGCGTTCGAGGACGTGGCGTTCCCGCGGCGGGCGTGGCGGTGCGCGGACGAGCGGGGCGACGTGCCGGCGGAGAGGCGGGAGCTTTATCGGCGGGAGGCGGCGCGGTTCCTGGAGGTGACGCGGGGCATGGCGGAGTGCACGTGGACGGCCGCCGACCACGCGTGGCTGGCGCAGCGGAACCGCAGTCGGCTCCAGCAGACTGCGCAGGGCCGCGCGGAGCTGGCGCGCTTCGAGGACGCCCCGATCCTCATGGACGGCAGGGTGGACAGGGCTACGGGCGAGGTGGGGGCCAACAAGATCAACTTGTTGAAGTTGGAGAAGGTGTCGGCGAGGACGGGGAGGCCCATTGCGCGCCTGCGTGCCTTCCACGACACGCCGGAGGGCCTGGAGCACCCGGAGGGGGTGGGCGCCGACGACTTCAGAGGGATCCAGAACGAGATCTTCGTGTGCGAGGGGGCGCGGGTGCTGCTCACGGAGAACTTGTGGGTGGAGGCCGGGCTGATGAACGGTGCCATGGGGACGGTGGTGGGGTACGTGTGGCCGGAGAACGCGGACCCTCACGACGGCGATCCGGCCCACAAGGCCCGCACGGCCCCGATCTGCGTCTTCGTGCGGTTCGACAGCGTGCAGCTTCGCGATGCCCACGGGCGCCCGCGATCCTTTTTTCCGGGCGACGACGTGCGCGGGGACTGGGTGCCCATATTCCGCAAGACGGTGGCGTCGACGTCGGAGGAGGGCCTGGCACGGTCGAACTTCCCGCTGCAGTTGGCGTGGGCGCTGACGCACTGGAAGGCTCAGGGCATGACGCTGGAGCGGGTGAGGGTGCACTTGTCTGCGAGGACGGCGGGCGCTCCGGGCATCGGGTTCGTGGCCTGCACGCGTGTGCGCCACCCGTGGGATATCGTCTTCGACGAGGACCTGCCGGAGTACGAGGCGTTCATGCGAGTCCGTCGCACGCGCGCGTTTCGCGAGCGCCGGCGCTTCGAGCTGCGCTGCGAGGCCCGCGCGTCCAGGACGTTGCGGCGGTACGGGTGCTGCCGGGCGGACGCGTGGGAGCCGGTTGAGCGGGAAGCCGCGGTCGTGCTGATGGAGGGCCTTCGGGTGGTGGGGCAGGAGCGGCGCGCTGGGCTGCGGGGGTTCAGTGCGCGGGGCATGTGCAGGGCGGTGGACGGCGACGCGTGGCTTTGGGGGGGCGAGTTGCCGGACTATGACGGCCTTCTCGCGAACGTGGTCGAGCGGGAGGCGCGCGGAGATCAGGGTAGGCGACGTCTGCTGCTGTCCGTGGCGGAGAGGCTGGTTGACAGCGCGCGCGTGAGGGAGCTCAGCGGGTCGGAGCGCGTTGACGCGGAGGCTCTCCTTGTGCGCTTGGGTGTTGCGGCGGCGGCCGGCGGCCGCGATGGGGGCTTCGGCCGGATTGGCGGCGTGCTGTGCCAGAATGCCCTTCGCGATGCCGCGCGCGCGGTTGCCGCGGGGTGCGATGAGCGGGAGGTTGAGCTGGGCGAGCTGGCGACGAAGATGCTCCGGCGGCAGGACGTGCTGGGCTACTGGGGCGGCAGGGTGGAGGACGCCCTGTCGCCGGAGATGCGGCCGTTGCACATGTCCGCGGTGAAGGGGGCTCTGGGGGCATTGATTCCGGCTGCACTTCACGGGAGTCTCGATCGGTTTGTCGCGTCCCAGAAGGACGTTGCGGTGTTGGGGGGGGGGCGAGCTTCTTGACCATGGACCGGTACAGGGTGAACGTGCGGTCGGAGGATGCTTTGCGCCGCGGCCGGTTCACGGAGGACGTCCTGGAGTTTTTCCTGAAGGTGTTGCAGCGGATTTGCGGTGTCCTGGCGCTGCCTGTCGCGGTGGCGAGCAAAACGGTTGGTCTGCATGCCGGGCGGGCGGAGTCCGCGGAGCAGTTCAGGAAGATCATGGGCGGCTGGAAGAAGGTCTGGAATCGGGCGGATGTGGCGGGGAAGAAGGAGCTGCTGTTGCCCGTCGCGGTGGACGAGAAGGGGCGCGACTGGTTCTGCGTGTCGGTGAGGTCTGCGTCAGAGGGCGAGGTTTTGGGGCGCGCGGAGCGCCTCGTCGTCCGGGTGTACGATGAGATGCGACGGCAGGGTGCG